GATTACATGCTCACCTGTCGATAGGAATGTCTTGGGTTCGAAACCCCACCGTCAGAGTTTATTGTTTAATTGACCAGGTTACTAAGCCCAGTCTACATTGGACTCCAGGCTAAATTGCAACGGTTTTGTGGTGCCCCAGTATAATTGTGCTTTACGGCCATGTCTGCGCCTGTGGCTTTGGTGTTCCGAACACGCTTGGTAATTCCAGAGTGCCGGGTTAGATTCCAGCTGCTGGTGATTTGGCAGCAGACCATTTTGCAATTATTTTAACTGTGGTGTAGCGAGCCAGATCATTCATATCAATAGCGCACTGGTTAGTTGCGTATCCTTTACAGGACGTTGCAGAACCAACCCCAGCAGCCCCTGGCTGTTGCGTGGTTTTTCTAGGCAAATTTACGTCCAGTAGTTTGCCATTGCCACTGGACGGTCGGCTTTCTTGATACCACTGTCGAAACCAACACAAGGCGCATGGCCCGCAGCTGGGATCGAACCTGGCATCCCGGCATTACGAAGCGTTCGCATCGACTTAGCCACAGAGCCGACCAATAGCGCACTACTGAAGATAAAATTAGGGAACCTTTTACTTCCGAATCCCGCAACGTAATTTATGCAATTATCTGCAAACGATGCAGCAAGGCATACATTGGGGAGACTGGCAGGAAGCTAGCTGATCGTTTCCGGGAACACCTCTCTGATATCGACAAGAAGACACTCAAACCAATCCCTCTTCATTTTAATAGCCCCGACCACAGCGGTAAAGATGACATATCTGTCACAGCATTAAAATCTTGCTCTGGCGATCATACTACCCGCCTCGCTTTGGAAAATCGCCTTATCCACAGCCTTGGCGTTCTTAGTCCAAGAGGTATCAATATCCAACATACCTTCATCTAAATAGTTCTAATCTTATCACATTTTAAATGTTAATTATTTTATTTTATTTCATATTATTACCATATTCTATTTCTTATCGATATCATTTATGTATCATTAACACTTGCATTTCTTTTATTACCAGTATTGTGACTATATTTTTTAGCCATCGTTTATTTTATTTTATTTCATTTATTCCGCATCACATTTTTTAAACGTCGCTCACGTCACCCCTTAGATATCTACATACTCTCCATTCCTCGTTTGTGTATTTCACTTGTGTTTGAAAAAGGCTGCCCGGCCGAAACGTAGTTTTGTTGTTGTTTTGTGCACGTTTTCATCTTTCCCATTTTGTTGAGCTTTTTAGTCAAATTTCTCTGGAATTCATTGTATTAGCTTGACTGCAGTCACCCCCATAGTTTCACCATTTGAAGATAAAATTGCCTCGTGAAATCTCAAACATTAAAAAAAATTAAAATATACGGTTGAACAACATTTCTGAGATTTTTTTTATTTCATTCTCACCACTGAGATGTTATTTTACATATTGTAAACCTGAATGGAACCCAGAAACAAACAAACAAATAATCTTCTTCTTCTTCAGTATTCCGAGACGTTGAGGTTCATCGCAGCGGATATCACCCGTCTCCATTCATCTCTTTGGTAGGCCTTCTCTTTCCAGATATCACCCACCTTCATTCATCTCTTTGGTAGGCCTTCTCTTTCCAGATATCACCCACCTTCATTCATCTCTTTGGTAGGCCTTCTCTTTCCAGATATCACCCGCCTCCATTCATCTCTTTGGTAGGCCTTCTCTTTCCAGATATCACCCGCCTCCATTCATCTCTTTGGTAGGCCTTCTCTTTCCAGATATCACCCGCCTCCATTCATCTCTTTGGTAGGCCTTCTCTTTCCAGATATCACCCACCTCCATTCATCTCTTTGGTAGGCCTTCTCTTTCCAGATATCACCCGCCTCCATTCATCTCTTTGGTAGGCCTTCTCTTTCCAGATATCACCCACCTCCATTCATCTCTTTGGTAGGCCTTCTCTTTCCAGATATCACCCACCTCCATTCATCTCTTTGGTAGGCCTTCTCTTTCCAGATATCACCCACCTCCATTCATCGGTCTAGTAGGCCTTCTTTTTCCAGATATCACCCGTCTCCATTCATCTCTTTGGTAGACCTTCTCTTTCCAGATATCACCCGCCTCCATTCATCTCTCTAGTAGACCTTCTTTTTCCAGTTTTTAACATCTGGTGTTTGCAGGTCTGTCTGGACATTATCTCTCCATCGTCCTTTTTTTTTTGGGTCTGCCTCGTAGTCTACGACTATTCATCTCTCTTGTGTGTACAATTTGTACCGCTCTATCTTCTGACATTCTCTCAATATGCCCCAACCATTTCAGTCCATTAGCTCGCACGATGACAGGATCAGTGGTGATTTAAACAGATTGTGAATTTCATTGTTTCATTCTCCGCTGTTTGCATCTTTGATGGGTCCAAAGATTCATCGCAATACTGTTTTCGAAAACCTGTAATAAGCCTTCATCTCGTATAGTCGTGCTCCAAGTTTCAGGGTCATATAAAACGACTGGTCTTATCAATGTTTTATATATTTTGTTCTTGGTGTTGTGACACAGGCACTTTGACTTTAGTAGATGTTGCATAGTATACTGTTTTTTTTTTCCAGATTGTATTCTTGGTTGTATTTCTTCTCTCAAAATATTCGAGCAGTTAAACAACGTACCGAAGTACTATATGTTTCCGTTCGTTTGATTTTCATATTATCCACTTTTTTTGTGTGGCCAGAGTTTATATCATTTTCCTGTCTTGTTACTATCATGAATTCTCTCTTTTATTCTGTCAAAATCATAATAATAATAGTAGTAGTAATAATAATAATAATAATAATAATAATAATCAGGGCGTCCAGGTCAACCTAACCTAATATGGGTACCACGGAATGTCCTGGGAAGCACAGGCGGCTGGCGGGATGTTGACCACATCATAAAACCGTGTGTCGATTGGTCAATAAAAATATATGTCCGGCACTTTATAGTTATTGCTCCGCTGGCGTGAAAATGAAACCCGTAAGAAGCTGAATTGAATCAAATCGCATGCTGTCAGGGACGTCAAAGGATTGGGACTTAGGAACCAAGAACGCCACCCCTCTCTTCCATCCTAAAAAAATGTAAGGGAGCTAAACTGCCATGGTACTTCGATTTTAATTCACCTAAACAAAGGAAATCATCGAGTTCTTAAAAAAGAGTCCAGTACTCTAATGGGTTGGAATCAAGATTAGAGTTTGGGTTATTCAGTGTCTTGGAGGCGGTCGGGGCTGACAGAAATCAGTTTTGTTTTCGTGCCTAGGGTACACAGGCGTTCTCTTGCTATTGTATCAACAAATGAATGCTGCGGTGTTCATGTCAACCCATAACACCCCTAGAATATTGCACTTTTCCGGGAACTCCCGGATTTTCTTTGTTTGGGGTGAAGTTAAATTAAAATACCCCTGTCATCCTTTCGACCATTATTAGGTAGCTGGTCCTTCGCAGAACGTCGCACTCATTATGGTCTGCATAGAAAGACTCGGTCTCTTGTCAGCTTTCCCGCCCCGTGCACTTTTATATGAGTAGCTTATATTCTGTGCTCATCTTCAGGCTGGTAGACCACTGCCCCTCCTTCCTGAAACCATGCCTTTTGCTATTATTGTTTTTATCATTTCGCCGTTGCGCTTGGTCGGCTCTGTGGCTAAGTCGATGCGAACGCTTTTAATGCCGGGGTGCCAGGTTCGATCCCAGCTGCGGGCCATGCGCCTTGCGTTGGTTTCGACAGTGGTATCAAGAAAGCCGACCGTCCAGAGGCAATGACAAACTACTGGACGTAAATTTGCATAGAAAAACCACACAACAGCCAGGGGCTGTTGGGGTTGGTTCTGCAACGTCCTGTAAAAGATACGCAACTAACCTAACCGTTGCGCTTGATGTTGGCAACATTTTTCAGCTTCCGAGACAAGATGCTGTTTATTAGCTAATCTTTCTTGATGAACAGAACTTTTAGAATGTCAGTATTTCCTCTTTTCCTTGTCCAAGAGTACTCTGAGAAGCTTTCTTTAGCATTTTAGCTCAAAAGAAACCATTTTCTTTCTTAAGGACTGAGAGACAAAGAGACATCTTATTCAAAGCATATTTATTCCAACTCTGTGCTACCAGTGCCAGACATGGTCACTCACAACAAACCATAAAAGAAAATTAGTAACCACGGAAATGAGATGTCTGAGAAGGGCTGTAGGAGTGACCATAAGAGATAAGATCAGGAATGAGATCATAAGAGAACAAGTCGGCACAGAACCAATTCTGGATTACATACAAAGACAGCAAGTGAAATGGTTTGCCCACTTAGAGAGAATGCCTTGTGACACCATACCATACAAAGCATACATAGAAAGAGAAGAAGGAAGTAGAGTACGGGGTAGACCAAGAACAATATGGAAGGATAACATCAGAGAAACTCTACAACAGCACGTTGTGCCTATGGTCGAGGCAGCCAGAAGAGCTAAAAACAGAACCTTATATCTCCAAAGCGGTAAAAGAGGAAGTGAAGAAGAAGAAGAAGAAGAAGAAGAAGAAGAAGAAGAAGAAGAAGGACTGAGAGATAGTCAATGACTTCCTTCACCATGTATAAAAATTATTTGTTTAATTTATTTTGTTTATTATTATTTTGTACTATTTCAAACATCTTATTATATTTATTTACCATTCAAAACGTTATCATCATCATCAACATCATTCATTTTTATCATTATCATCATTATCATTATCATCATCATCATGTTTCACTCTTCTCAACTTGGCTTCGGTGCTTGAATTCCCCCCACCCACCCCAACTCCCGAAAAACTATTTGTAAGGGGGCTAAACACCGCCCCCCCCCCCCCCAGTCCCCTCAATGGTTTCCTTGTGTTGGATCCAACACATGTCATGTTTTTGAGTGCTCGTCTTGTACAAATCTTTTTCCTCAGAAAACGATATCTAGGCCCGCTGACTGTGGTACAACCAGAGGCTGTTTCTCGGACTGTCAGGGATCATCCTGTGGCTTTTTAGTATCCTGGGCTGTCAACGGAACCAATGCAGTATACGTTATATCTTACAGTACAGCTACAGCTAGCGGAACTTGGATGGCACTTGGATTTTCTAATGACACCAAAAATGGTATGGTGTATCATTAGATGAATATTTTGCAAAACTTTTTTTTCTCCTTCTTCTTTTTCTTCTTCTTTCGTTCACCCGAAATAAATTACCTGTACCTGCAGTGTTGTCTCAGGCATGAGCTTGACTATCTTTTGTAACTAACTCAGCGACCAGTAAAGTTTGGTTTCAACCAGTGTTTCTCTTGGTTAAAAGTTCTGCCTCAATATGTTGTATCTGGAGCAGTCTTGGAGGACGTAATCTGTTGTCTCAGGTCAAAGCTAAAACACAATATGTATTTCCCACAGTGTTTCTGGTTACTGGAAAAGAAAGAGCGACGGAAAAAGAGAGAAAAAGAGGTGGTTGGGGGGGGGGGGGCTGCAGCAAACAAAGTATCAAGAAATTAATTCACTGGACTGGAACTAGAAACTTAACAAAGATGGAAACAATTCATTTATAAAGGCCGCTGGCGAAAAGTCGATCGTTCCTGTGAGCGTCTCCCCACCCTCCTCGTTTTCCCTTCACATTTTCGTGAAGCTTCTTAGTTATAGTCCAGTAGATTTATTTCACAAAAACAATAGATCCAGTGCCCATAACAAGCATGTCGTAAAAGGCATGTAATTATGACTTTGTATAAATTGAATGTTGTGTAATGAACGGCGCTACATACACTACCCTAGCTGTAAACCACAGTACAGCTTACCAACTAACCCTGTAAAGCGAACATAGAAGAAGAAGAAGAAGAAGAAGAAGAAGAAGAAGAAGAAGAAGAAGAAGAAGAAGAAGAAGAAGAAGAAGAAGAAGAACAAGAAGAAGAAGAAGAAGAAGAACAAGAAGAAGAAGAAGAAGAAGAAGAAGAAGAAGAAGAAGAAGAAGAAGAAGAAGAAGAAGAAGAAAAAGAAGAAGAAGAAGAGGAGGAGGAGGAGGAGAAGAAGAAGAAGAAGAAGAAGAAGAAGAAGAAGAAGAAGAAGAAGAAGAAGAAGAAGAAGAAGAAGAAGAAGAAGAAGAAGAATAAGAAGCAGAAGAAAGAAGAACAAGAACAAGAGCAGATAGAAAGAGGAGGATGGGGAGAAGAACGAGTAGGAGGAAGCAGCATTTAGCAGCAGTAGCAGCAAAAGAAACACTCTTGTGCAGCTAATTTAACTGCGTAGAAGTGGGTGGCTTTGTGTGGAGTGTTTTGCCGGTTAAGACAGATGTCTATCAATCTTCACCAACGCTGTTCTGTGGTTTAGAACGCGAATGTGTTTAACAGTTTCATGAACATCGAGCACAAGGATTTGATTTCAGCACTAGGCGGTTTATTTGAACTAATAAAAGCGGGGAGAACCTAGCAAACAGAATAAACTACTCAACTCGACTTATGGAAAGGCATACGCCATTATCTGTACACTTGTGATTCAGATTGTTTTACAGCGTTGTAGAGAATGATTGCTGGGATGGTATGACTTTTAGTATTTGTTGGACACGAGCGTGGAATCAGTCACCATAAAGTCTGGAGTGTGGCAGGGCTGTGTCCTATCTCCCATACATACTTTTATTAACTCACACTGATCATCATCAACAACATAAACAAATTCTGCCGTTAAGCGACGTGGGGAGGAATATTTTGCAATCCAGTGCACGCTGACTGCCACTGGCTATTGTCATGCCGTAAAGGCGTAAAATGTTTTTAATGTTGTCGATCCATGTTTTTTGCAGCCGTCCTCTTGCTCTTGTGGCTGATCTTCTGAGATGTAGTGCTTGCAATAGAAATTGATCTTGCTGCATTTTAACGAGATGGCCAAACCACTTAATCTGCTTTTTTCGATGAATCAAGTACAAGGTGTCGTTTCCACAATGTTTCTAATAGAATCATTTTTCACTCGATCTCGGATGGTTAGGTCCGCTGCTTTTCTCGGGCATCTCATCTCGCATGTGGACATTTTGCGTATATGGGCTTTAGATATTGTCCATGTTTGGCACTGGTAGCTTAATGTTGAAATGAATATGCTGTTTATAATCTGCCTCCTTGCACTCATAGTTATGCCTCGATGTCTTAATCATGGGGACAATCGTTATATAAGTGCGCTTGCTTTTTGACATCTCTTTTCTTTTTCTCTGTCGATTCTACCATCTTCCGTGATCATACTTCTAAGATATTTAAACTCCCTAACTTGATTCAGACCAGAACCATTCAGCTGTATGTATAGTTGGCCAGTGGTTCTACTAACTTGCAATGTTTCGGTTTTGTTTGCATTGATCTTCATGTTGATTTACTGCCTGCTAAGTTTAACCTGTTAATGTGGTCTTGCAGTCTATCTTTTTCAGGGTAGAGCAAGCACTGGTCGTCAGCAAATAGTAGTTCGTTTAATGTGGGCGAATCGATTACTTCTTCTGATGTGTTTACTTCCTCGTGATTATAAGGATCTACTTTGTCTGTATCAGAATTTGCTTCTTTGTATATTCTGTCTTTAAAAATGTTCAATAAAAGCGGGGAGAGCACACATCTCTGTCTCACAACTGTGTTGACTGTGAACGTATTTGATATCCCTTCTTGTGTTCTTACTGCACTTTGGCTTGTGTGGTACATGGCTATGATGTTCTCTAGTAACTGTCCTTGTACCCCGTAGTTCTCAAGAACAGACCACAGTTTGGTTCTATCCACACTATCAAAAGCCTTTTCCTGATCTACAAACACAAAATTCTGTTTGGCATTATACTCAATGGCTCTCTTTTTCAAACACTTGCCTCAGAGTGAATAATGCATCTGTGCATCCTCTGCCTTTTCTGAAACCGAATTGTGATGCACTCAACTGTTGTTCAGCTATGGGTCTAACTCTCTGTTCTGGTAGTTGGCGTACATTTTTCCTACGTGACTCAGTAGTGATATACCTCTGTATGCTTCACATTGTCTCCCATTACCTTTCTGTTTTCATGTTACATCTGATGACATCTGAAAAGAAACCAACCTGACAAGGATTATAATACACCAAGAAGAAGAACAACAAAAGTCATTTTCACCAAAGAACTATTATTTGCAGACGACCAAGCACCAATTGCTACTTCAGAAACTGAACTGCAAGTCCATATTAAATTTGCAAAGAACGTAACATGAAAATAAACGGAAACAAAACAGAGATCATGGCCATGGATAAAGTAGATGGGTAAAAATAAATGGGATGGGAAAATAAATATCCAGCTTCTAGAAAACTCTGAAACAAACTAAAAACCGGAAATACTTAGGAAACATATAATCAGCCTGCAAAACAGATGATGACATCGATGAGAGCTGCAAAACTGAGCAGATCAGATCAACTCATTTAACAAAGTGGCACCAATACGAAGAAATAAAGCAGTGCTATGACTGAATCAGAGCTCCCAGCCAAGCCTGGATAATGACAGAAAAAAAGAAAATTCAGAAAAAAAAAAAAATACAACTGAAATTATATTTCTACGAAGGGCTGTTAATATAACATTAGGATATAGGATCAGAAATGCTGAAATCAGAAGGGGGATGTGGGTAGCGGCAGCTCTGGATTTAATTAAAAACAAGCAGGTGAAATGGTTCGGTCATGTAACGCGGATGTCAGCAAACACTATACCACAGCAAGCAATGATGTACAGGCCAGACGGGAAGCGAAGAAGAGGCTGATCATGCAAACTATGGACAGAGGAAATAACAGAGTCCCTGAGAGTTCCCATTCATGTAGTGCACAAACGGGCTCTTTCCAGTAAATTATACTTCACCTCGATACCGCGACTTGCCCGACGACCAATACAAGATGAGATGAGGACCCGTATGGTTTCTTTAAATATTCAAAGAAGGTCAAAGTTCTAGACTTATCCTTTTACACTTCGATATGGACGCCATTTGAAGCTCTCAAGACATCTAGGTATTCAATCTCCTAGGACGTCTTCTGAATCGTATACAGAGTTACAGTTGCAATTGCTGCAGCGACCCTCTTTTTAATGTGCAGGATGTTGACTATCTTCTCAACGCCGTTGTAAGCTTTACAGCCAGACAAGGTCATACGAAACTAAACTGTTTTAAACATTAACAGACGTTACACGGGTGTATACCAATTAAATATCTGTTTTTTATTACCACAGGGACTGCGTTAGCGCAGTCGATAGGAGACTCACTTTCAAATCCAACTGCAGCCCACGCCGGTATTCGAAACCGGGTTGTTCCCTGGGTTCACCCAGCCTCTAGGAAATGGTTATCAGAGTTAACACTCTGGGGTAAATGGAAGAACGTCGCCGTAGCTACGGAGTAACCCGAGGACGGCGACACAGGCGGACAATTTCTTATCAGCTGTCCGTACTGGTGGCAGAACACTTATGGTTTATAACCGTGTGCAATGACGCTGGTTCACATCTCCAGACTTTACCTCTATATTAACAGTAATCCCGGGGCTTATTCTCAGTGACCCAGCTTATATAAATGTTATGTAATTGCATGTAAATAGCACTTGAGGTCATTGTGCGCTTTTTTTCTTTTTAATTGATAACTGGATGGATTATGTAAAGAGAAATTGACACTCATAAGTCCATAAAACTATATGATAATTTCAATGTTGTCTTTTTACGTATTGATTATGTGTTGCGTATTAAATGAAAACTTATTTACAAAATGTGTTTTAATATTTTATTATCGATTTATGGTTCTTTCATTAGTCATCTGGCTTTCGTACAGATTTCACATACCCCCCCCCCCCCCCCCAACCCCAATTTTGTCCCCGACATTAATCGCTCCGATTGATCTTGATTCTCTCATGTATACCAATATTTACTCTTATCATCATCATCACCACCATCATCATCAAGAGCCTTATCGACCTTGGTGATTATACCTTTACACAACCTTTACACTCCATTAGCATGTATTAGTTTTTGTGCTAACAATTCCCCCGTCCCCATACCCACCCCATGCTATCACAAAAGACTGTTAAAAATTGTCTCGCGTTGTTTTCTGGTACTCTCTTTCCACAAAACTTTCCTGTTGTCGCAACATATTTTAGTTTCCATTTTCTCATAATATGGCCAACAATATGATGACAGTCTACTTCTGATATTGGTGTTAGGTTGACTACAGCTTGGCTTCTTTCAAAATCGCTGGGTTACTCGTGTTGGCATCTTTTGTACAACCACATTTCTGAGGCCTCAAGATATATTTTACCTGCTTATTTAACTATCTAAAGAAATTGAAAATGTCTCAGACTTTGAATATTCAGGTTTCTTAACAAATATCAATGGAGACTGTTCAACATAATTCAAAAGGGGGTTTGGTCATAGCAATACACAGATTAAACAGCATTAATAGTATATGATTAAGCTTGTTCTTAAAGTCCATCCCGTGTGGCGTTGGTAGTCATGCCTACCCACAACCTTCTGTCTCGTATACTGTCAGTCAACTCTGACACATATAATGCTGATTCCATGATGTCAGACTGTCCAGCATCTGTTCTCTCGGTCTGCCTTTGCCTCTCCTCCCCACCAGCTTTCCTACTGTCACGATGTATTCCAGTTTACATGTTCAGAGTATTCTCTTAATTCGTCTCTTAAACTACATCCCGTCAGCTTCCATATAAGTTTTTACTAATTTACCAACTGCCCATGATTCACTTCCGTATATCAATCAAGATAGGATTTATATTGCTTTTAAAAATTATCTTTCTCGTCTCAATTGACAAAGAAAGGTTGTATAAAACATTCTTCAGTTTATTAAATTCTTCCTTTGCTTGAGCTATTTTACATTTGACGTCTTTAATGCGTATTCCATCTGATGTTATGAGGGTACACAGAAGAATAATGAACAAAATTTAAGCAACTCTACAGACACAAAAGCGCAAGAGGCGGGAGAGCTGCCGAGAGACTGAGGTTTTTTCCACGCAGATGGTGATGAGAGAGCAACGTTCTGCAAAGGATATGCGACACGAAGATGATAATTTAACCATCTCTTATATAATTATTTACAGCTGTTGAGAACGCTGTTTTTCACCGCAGTTGACACCGATTAAATCTCAGTGCTTAAATTATTGCAGACAGATGACGATGTCATTGGATGTGCTTCAAACACAAGCGGGTATGCAGTGAAATTCAGCGCTAACAACAAGGGCCATTTCCCTCCAACATTGTACACTGATACGGTATGTTCCTTCATTCTACTTCTACTTGTTGAGCTGAGGTACGACCCGACATCACAACACTCGGGACATTTCCATAAGCGCTCGGTTCTCATCTTCAGCAGCCAGTGAAGTGTTCCAGAGCAAGATGGAAAAGCAGTCTGATTGTGTGTCTGTGTTGCCTTTCGTTCGAGTGTAGAATGTCGGCCACATCATTTGGTCACTCATCGTGGCACTGTTGTCTCCACGGTGTAATTATCTGTTCGCCCTTTCCCGTCTTTACTACATCTTGCATGCAAGGAATCGATTCCCCACTCAGTGGTGCAACATCATCCAATCTGTCCGTCTGTTCGTTTTACAACACATCTGCACACCCTGATACATACTTGTACTGACACACTATACGCTTTCAAAATAAATTGCTATCCATTGTGAGTTAGGCGTTAGTTCTGTAAACTTTTGCAGCATGCAGCAGAGCAGTTTTACATTCATTAGTAGTTTGCCATTGTCGGCGTCTGTGGCGTAGGCTTTGTGAACGCAACGGATTCAATCCCAGCTGCAGGTAGTTTGGCAGCAAACCGTCTTGTGTGGGTTTCGACAGTGGTACCGAGAGTCAACGGTTTAGGGAGCAATTTAGGGAGCAAACTACGGGACGTAAATTTGTCTAGAAAAACTGCAGCTGCCAAAGAAACGATGGGATCGATTCTGCAAGATTCTGCAAAGGATACGCAACTGCCCTTGAACAGTTGGCGCTCAGTTATTATCATCATCATTAAGTGCCTTGCCCGCTGGTGTAGGCGTTCATGTATCTCCACCGATCTCGGTCTTTGGTGTTCTATAACAATTCCACTAATGATATTCCTCCATGCCACAGTCTTAAGCCATCTACCATCATTTTTCTTAGTCTGACTCTGCTTCTTGGACGAGTGATCTTTCCAGTCGTCACATTTTCCAGTTCTCCTTGTCTCACAACATGATCACAGAATTTTGTCTCCTTGTCGGTGTTGTTGTATATAATGTTCTACTTTCATTAGCATCAGTTTCATTGCAAAATAAATCAAAGCAAATCGGTTGCCCACAGCTTGAACCAAACCGGGTAATGTTTAATTACGAAGCCCGTAAAACAAAAGGCCAATGTGGTTAGATACCATGAATGCTCTATTTTTATTTTCAGGAAGTGACACTAACTTCCTACAGCTCTCAGAATGGCATATATTCTTGTACAATACAAAGACCTGTAAGTGCATCAGCTAACGGACGCGTGGACGCAAATACTGCATGGACGTTATTATTTGCTGCAGGAAGTACTACTTTTAGTAAGTATTTTTACTTTCACTTACTTTGCAGACGTTGCTGCAGCGGATCTCAGCTCGGATGCATAATATTTTATTAATACAGTTTAAAAAAAAAAAAGGAAAGATCCCTTTCTACGCCTTTAGGCTTATCGGGCATAGAGGAAGAGCGCCCATATTTTTAAAGACCATCAGCACTCGGTGGGTAATGTGGTCAGCATTACGCCGGCTGTCTTTACTTTCCCATCCTGGTACCCATTTAAGGCTGGGTCGACCTGCGACGCCCCGTACCATGATAAAAATCCACGCCGCCAGCAGTAGGTTTCGATCGCGGTACGCTGGGTTACGAGTTGGACTCGCAACGCCTAAGCCACAGACGCCGCAATTAATACAGAGTGAGACCAAGAAGAAGATGGAAGGATAACATCAGAGAAACTCTACAACAGCACGATGTGCCAATGGTCGAGGCGGCCAGAAGAGCTAGAAACAGAACCTTATATCTCCCTCGACACCCACAGCGGTAAAAGAGGAAGTGAAGAAGAAGAAGAAGAAGAAGAAGAAGAAGAAGAAGAAGAAGAAGAAGAAGAAGAAGAAGAAGAAGAAGAAGAAGAAGAAGAAGAAGAAGAAGAAGAAGAGAAGAAGAAAGAGAAGAAGGAAGAAGAAGAAGAAGAAGAAGAAGAAGAAGAAGAAGAAGAAGAAGAAGAAGAAGAAGAAGAAGAAGAAGAAGAAGAAGAAGAAGAAGAAGAAGAAGAAGAAGAAGAAGAAGAAGAAGAAGAGGGTTTATTAACGGTAATCCCAGTGGAGCCCTCGCGCCGGGGAAGGACCGAGGATGAAACGCCCGTCCGCAAGGTGTCGCTCCTGAATGATCCTACAGCTTTCTTTAATTAACGATTGTGCACCCCACAACCCTGCAGTTTTTTTTTTTATTTTTTGTATAAATTAAGGTCTACTGTGTTCGTAAATTGTTGCTGTGATTGTTAATCGACATATGCTTCGTTAATATAAAATTCTGTAACATATGGTGCCATTTCAATGGTTTGAAATAAATTATGTCTGTATTCCATAGTTGTGGATTTCAAGCTGTACGTTAGACATGGCCAATAAGACACCTTTTTCATGACAAAATTTATGATTCTTCTTCTTCTTTTTCTTCTTTTCTTCTTTACTCTTGTTCTATCTTTCGGCGTAAGGTTGTAAAAAATTCATCCGCTGCGAACCTTGGTATGTGTTATGTAGATGCTGGTATTTATGGCCTTGGATATTCCATCTATCCTTCGCTTGTGTGGTCGACCTCTAGTTCTGTTTCCATTATGTCTAAGCGACAAGGCTCTACGTGGTACGTTTTCTGATAGTAGGTAGCCTTGACACATGTCCGAACTATTTTATCTGTTGTCTGATCATATTGTTTAATACTGGTTCCGTCCCAGCTTCTTTCCTTATATCTATCTTTATTTCTGTTGTTTCGATTTTCATTTCTAAGTAAAGAAAAGGACTCCCTTTTCCCCGCCTTCGGGTGTATTGGGCTATAGGGCTAGACCTATATTTTAGACAACCAATCGGCACTTGGTGGGAGATATGGTCAGCATCACACCGGCCGCCTCTACTTCCCAGGACTTGCCTAGTACCCACTCAAGGCTGGGTCGACCTGGGAGCCAAAGTCATTAAAAAAATGACTGGTTTCATCAGGAACCCAACCCACGACCTTCCAGTCCGCAGGCGAGCGTCTAGCCGAGACACAACGGCGGCTCTTCCTCCTATTTCTCAGTGAATTAGTAATTAAATAAGTTTATTGGGCATTGCTAACATGTGTCTATATTTCATTGTTCATAGCTCAGACTGGAGAGCCCACTATCAGTTATCATGGAGGCAACCGATTCTGGTCGACTGTACCGGTGAAAGTTACTGACACCAGCAATGCAGGTAAAACAGAGCCTTGACTGACACCTTTCCGTCTTTCCAGATTATAGTATTATACTGTGCTATGATGAAGCACTGCCTCTCTATAGCACTAAGCCTGGGCAATGTTGTAGAGACCATATGTTGCCCATGCTTCGTGATCTCCCTCGACCTGCCTTGTTTACTCCAAAGGAAAGATAACACCTGTACGTTTGGAATAAAGCAGGCTGCAGAAGCTGCCGGATCAGAAGAGCAATGCTCTATCTGTCCACCTGTCAGAGCTTTTTCCTAGACCAACTGCCAGCCAAGGCTAAGGGCCTGGTCTGTGCTACCATAACACAACGTTTTCTTGTCGCATTTCCTCTTTCTAGTATAAGGCTTGTATCCTTTCCTATTGCGCTCTTCCACCCGAAGTCGTTGACACAATAGGGGATGCCAGGTTTGGTATACTTTGCCCAACATTCGGCGTTAACAGAAGACAGGGAGTACCGGCTAGTGTTTCTATGTTCCTACTGTATGCTCTCTATGCGGACATCACTGGATTCATTCTCATTATATTGTCTAAATATTTACACCCTTGTGTTTTTTTTTTCAGTTAATGTCCTTTACTTTACAGTACTATTGACATATAGAATGTCTTAAATTAGGACCATTGTTAATAAGTATCTGTCCTAAAGGGTTTGCTGATGTCATTGTCAACAGACTTCAACCAAGCACTTCGACTGGAGAAAGGTTGATCTTCCTCTGCTTTTGCTGTAAAGCATCACGGAGAGGATTGATATGTAGTTTCGCATCTTTAGCTAGTTTTGTAGCTTGTGTGAATGTCATATTGCCTTTCTGTAGTATCTTATTTTCTCCATCCACCCATGTATTTCTTGGTCGGCCTCTTTCCGTGTAGTCTCTAGTTCTTCCATAGTAGGTTCTAGCTGCTGCTTCATTTTATTATATTTTGACCAGATGGCTAAGCCATTTGATTGTCTGTTGGAAAAACTTGAACGTCACGGGTAATGCCCTATCATACATCAGTATTCCACCAAGATGTGCAGAGCCAGCCAGTCTGTACGCCTGTTCATTTCCCAACACACCGGCATATCCCAGGAAAAAAAATCCAGACAGTACTCCTTACCCGGGTCCTTCGCAGTGAAGCATGCCACTCTGCACGAAGCATGCCTGCCCTGATGATCCTCAGCATCAGAAGAGCAGTCACCGGTAATGTGCCCACTATTGTTCATTGGTGACTATCTCTTTTTGTTGTTCCCATCGCTTTTATTGTACATCTCATCTTACTTGTTGTAAGTTTGCGCTTACATTTTTCGATGTCTGTCCATGTATGGCACTGAGAGCACAAAGTTGGTACGAATAGAAAAACAAATAGAAGTAGAAGAACAATAAGTTGATAATCGCTGTAAATTTCCTCACTTACGGCCACACTATCATTAAGTTCTCCAACGCACTGCACCTTAGTTTATATTATAGACATCTGTCACGTCAAAGAACGTTCGAATCCTGGGTAAGAGTGAAGATTGTTTTGTCTTGTGGGTGGGGGGGGGGGTGGATATAAAATCCTAACTTGCACAGTCTGTGGCGACAGCACTAGCCATGTGGCCTGAAAACCCCAGTCTTAAAGACCCTCTGCTTAAATATGGGTGGGGGGACGCTAAACCAGCCTACAGGAGTGGGGGAAACGTCCTAAAGAGTAAAGGCAGACGATATGTTGTTGATTACATCACCCAACGAGTACCGATTAGCCCAGACGTAATGTCTACCATCACATTCATGATCCACCAATGATTTTAAAAATATCCTTTACTCGATAAATATGCTTTAAAAAATCAAAGTTGGATTTATCAGGCAAGAATTGATTCCAACACTAAGCACTTCCCGAATAGCTGACCTAACCTTTAACCTTATGCAAGGAAATGCAAGTGTTCAAGGGAACTATCGTGCATACATTCTTGTTAACACTGCGGTTGCTATGGCTGGTCCGTTACTGGACAGAATTGAATTATCAATACCATGCGTTGCACATACTGTACCGAGGAGTACGCCAAAGGATATGACTTCGTATCCCTGTCTAGACTGATGGACATGTGAGTACAGCCTAGAGCTGCAAGAAGTGAACCTTTCACTAAGGGGACAAGACGCTTCATTAACCAACACAGAACAGGTGTCATCAGTCGTTTTACACTTATGGATTTTTTTAGGAAGAGTTCGAAGCATCCTATGGATTTGTCCGGAATGCTGTGATGATAATCCTTTGTAATCACTAATCACTTTACTCTTGTGAGGATAATTTCGAGGTGTTTTTACCCTTCAAGGTGCAGTAAGCGTTCAAACATCGAATACAGCTACAGCAACGGCGACGACTGGTGGGACGACTATGGCGCCTGTACGTATTTTTGTTTGAATGTATTTATTATATTATATACATTTAAATATGCATGCCACTATATGGATACCACTAAATGGAAATAACCTTATTGTTACCACAATATGGATACCACTATATGGATACCACTATATGTACCAAAAAGAAGAAAAACACTGACATCCTACATGATCTGAAAACGAAGGAGAATTGCCCCATAAACAGCATCCTGTCCTGAAAGCTGAAGTATTTTAGCTATGTTAATGTCATGGTGACCTAGAGAGAACGGTGATGGAAGGTTCAGCGGAAAAAAAGAGGCAGACGCAGGTCCTCGCGAATGTGCATACAAGACATTTAAGATGCAATAGCTATGAAAGCAAATAGGGGCTGGAGAATCGACTGGAGAAGGAAGAAGAAGAGAAAGAAAGAAAGGAAGAAGAAGAAGAAGAAGAAGAAGAAGAAGAAGAAGAAGAAGAAGAAGAAGAAGAAGAAGAAGAAGAAGAAGAAGAAGAAGAAGAAGAAGAAGAAGAAGAAGAAGAAGAAGAAGAAGAAGAAGAAGAAGAAGAAGAAAAAGAAGAAAAAGCAAAAGAAGAAGAAGAAGACGAAGAAAAAGCAAGGTAAAAAAGAAGAAGAGGAGGAAGAAGAAGAAGAAGAAGAAGAAGAAAAATGAGGAGGAGGAGGAGAAAGAGGAGGATGGATGCATGGACGGACATAAATGCCTGATAAGGGTCCTTAATTTTTTTTTTTCTGTAAAATAAATTTCAATTTAGAGAGAATAATTTGACAAATCTGTACAATTGATTCCCCCCCCCCCCCCCGCACACACACTACCCCTCCCAGTTGTAATATGTTTAAAAATGTGTGCTTTGGAAAGTCCATGTCATTCACCTTTCGGATTTTTTATATTTATATACAATAATGGAAGCTGATCTTTGATAAAAAGCATGCACACACTATCTATTCACACAATGCTGAAGAAAAGTCAACGATTATGATGCAGATAAAGAAAACAATAAAGAATCACTGATATGCGAATACACTGAAAGAAAATTTGTAAATCCTACAACCCTACTTGTTACTGTAAGCGTGGGTTCGGAATAGCTCCGTAGAGTCGATTTTGTGTTTCACTTGGAAGGATTATTTTATTGGCTTGTAATGTTGTGAATTCCCGGGGAAATCCCAGAGAGTTCCCGATGGGGAGGACAAGGTCAGAGGATCAGTGATACAAGAGAAAAACGAGATAAGTGGGTCTCGAGTATCCCATGGTGAGCGAATAAAAGGGATGCAAGAAAAGCGTGAGACTGGAACGGAAGACGTGAACCGATAGACGGTAGTAAGACAGTTTAAGTTCGGACCTGGTTGCGAGATGTAGTATGTGAGCGAACGCCTGAAGAGAATGGAGAAATTGTTGTGACCACGTATAATTGTTCGAGAAAAGATATGAATGTTTCCTGATTGCCAGTTTCAACGTATACTAATACCAGGTACAAAGCTTTAGTAGGAGATGGATGTGTGATTCGAGAGACGGATGGATCAAAGCAGTGTGCGAGAGAATTGAGAGGCCGTCCGAAATCAGCCATTCATAACGACCACGAGGACGAAAGAATGCGCTGTTAGTGATATGTTTGATTCAGCGAATAAAGGTTTCTGGTGTGTCATAGCAACTAAATGTTCGTCAATACAGCAATGTGGCGTGTAGAAACAAACATCTAGCAGAGCACATGGCATGGCTTTATTTTAATCAGTTCTTACTGTAGTGTGCATCAAATGAGATACAGCGAAATATGCCAGACAGTAAGTTGTATCTTAATTGTTTGAGTTCACACCGGGGATATATAGATATAGATAATATAGATAAATGCATATACATTTTTACATATAGGAGCCGCCATGGTCTAGCGACAAGACGCTCGCTTGCTGATCCGATGGTAGTGGATTCAAGTCCTGATGGCTCCCATACTTTTTTCACAAATGACCTTGGCTCCCAGGTCGACCAAGCCTTGAATGGTACTAGGTACAGTCTTGGGTAGTAAAGGGTGTCGGCGTGATACTGACCACAATACCCACCAAGTGCTGTTTGGTCTATAAAATATTGGTCTAACCCTATATGCCCAATACGCCTAAAGGCATGGAAAAAAAGGGTCCTTTACTTTACTTTTTACATTTCTAAATATAGTTTGTGTTCATATTTTGTCTTAGTTCTGTAAGGGAACACATTGGAAAAGTCGCTCTTTTATTTCTTCAAGGCTACGGGAACCATTTCCAAAACACCAGGATGTGGCTCAACGATTGGCTGCATCTCCGACTGCCAAGGTACCACCTGTGGATTCATTGTGACATGGATCCCATCGGGAAATGAAGTAACCTACACATTGGCTACAAATTTAGTAGGAAGCTCCGGAACCTGGATTGCCATTGGATTTTCATCTGACAGCGATATGGTAAATTATAGCTATTTACTGATATAGACATTTGTCATGTACAATATGCTAGCTCATATAGAGCCAGTTAGTGGTTTTCATCTGATAGCGTAATACAGACATTTGTCACGTCTCTCTCTCTTCTTTTACCCCACCAGGACATCACCCAAGCGATAAACACCCGATGACTCAAAGTGCCACCATATGGATGAGATAATAAACCTAGAATAATATTAATAAAATTAGGAAATCCTGGGTGGAAAATTGTAAAATGTATTAAAATAAAACTAAGTCAGTTAGCTGAGTATCCTTTACAGGACGTTGCAGAACCAACCCAATAATTTTTTTTTGGCTTTTATGGTTTTTCTAGATACATTTACATCAAGGCGTTTGCCATTGCTTACTTGACCGTCGGCTTCTCGATGCCACTGTCGAAACCAACGCAAGGTGCAAGGCCCGCAGCTGGGATCGAACCCGGCACCCCGGCATTACGAAACGTGTTCGCAACGCCTAAGTCACAGACGCCGACAAAGGAAAACCATTTAAAATATATTACAAACCACTTGCATACAGGAACAAGAAAATGGATCTTTCAGGCCCCTGTAGATCGTTAAGCCCTAAGCCATAGCTTGTTTACTAAATCCAGAATTGGCCAATGTGTTAACCTCTCTCTCTTTATCCCATTTCACGCCTTAGGCGCACCGGGCATATGGAAAGAACACCCATATTTTGACCAGTCGGCAAAGTGGGTAATGTGTCCAGTATTACGCCGGCCGTCTTTACTTCCCCAAGACAGCCATCCTGGTACCCATTTTAGATTGTGTCGCCAAGCGACGCCCAATAAGTAAAGGACCCTTTCCACGCCTTTAGGCGTATGGGGCATATAGGGCTAGACCTATATTTTTATAGACCAACGGCACAAGATGGGTGATGTGGTCAGCATCACGCCGGCCGCCTCTACTTCCCGGGATTGCACCCAGTACCCACTCAAGGCTGGGTCGACCTGGGAGCCAAGGTCATTTTTGAAGAAAAGTCCGTCTCCGCCAGGGAGCGAACCTACGACCTTCCGATCCGCGGCGCGCGTCTAGCCGCTCTGCCACGGCGACTCCCAAGCGACGCCCCATACCATGAAAAAAATCCACGCAGCCAGCAGTGGGTTTCGATCGCGGTACGCTGAGATTACGAGTCGGACTTGCAACGCAGCTATAATGTGTTAACCTCTGTGTTAATATTCTTCAACAGCGAGCGTGCCTGTCATGTCCTCCTGCTGCGTAAATGAGAATCATGGTCGATCAGCACATTAATCTTCTTCTTGTTTCGTTTACTTGAATTAGATTATCTATATCTGCAGTGTTGACTCTAGTATGAACTTCATTGTCTTTTATAATCCAATCAGCGACCGGTATAGTTTGACTTGCACTGATGTTTCTCTTGGCCAAATGTTTTGCCTTGATATTTAGTATTTGGGACAGTCTTGGAGGACGTGATCTGCTATTTTGGATGCTAATATACGTGTTCACATGGTTGATTCACCAGTAATTCTCCACAACTTCACCATTTTGTAATTTAATGAGAAAGAGGGATGAAGCTGCCAAAATGGCAGAGGGGAAGAGGGGGGGGGGGGGGGGGGGTGGGGTACAGGGATACAGAGAATAATATTTCCAGATAGTATTGGTGTTGCACCGATTTTTTTTTTTTTTTTTGGGGGGGGGGGGGGGGGGGGGGGGGCGTGTCGTGAAGAAACCTTAAATAGATAAGAGCAAACGAAAAGTTTAAGACTCAGATGAGAGCAAACGAAAAGTTGAAGACTCAGATGAGAACAAACGAAAAGTTTAAGACTCAGATAAGAGCAAACGAAAAGTTGAAGACTCAGATGAGAGCAAACGAAAAGTTTAAGACTCAGATGAGAGCAAACGAAAAGTTTAAGACTCAGATGAGAGCAAACGAAAAGTTTAAGACTCAGATGAGAGCACCAGCGCTGCCTTAACTCATTAACACGCTGGGAGCTTTGCCTGGGGGGGGGGGGGGGCGTCACGACATAGGGCGTCATGCTAATCTGAGAGTGTCAAGCGACTTTGCGATTAACATTTTGTTCCTGTGAGTGGGTGTTGTAAGGACCTCATAACACTGGTTTGCCCTGGGGCCCATTATCATGGTCCTGTTTTCTCCGGGACAGTCGCGTTTTTCAGTGTCTGTCCCGGTCGTCTCGCTGGAACTCCAAAAAGCGTCATTTGTCCCGTTTTATCAAAATCAAGGAATAAGCTCGAAAATGGAATATACAATTTTACTTATATGTGTACATTTTATTACATTTCTTATTTTTATAAAGAAAAAGCATGCAATCCAACTAGAAAATTTATATTAAGTAATTAGTATGGCATATACGTCTGTACAGAAACCGACTCAAAAAAGAACTGATTGCCCACATCAGAAAGAGACAATCTACATTCTTTGGTCTTGTCACGAGTAGGAGAAAACTGGAGTACATCGTGATGATGAGGAAGTTGGAGGGGAAGAGAGCTTAGGGAGGCCGAGAGAAAAGATGCTGGACAGTTTGACATCATGACATGAAAAATCATTTGTGTCAAAGTTGATTGAAAGTACACGAGACAGAAGGTTGTGGATAGATATGACTATCAACGCCACACAGCACGGACTATGGAAGATCATCTGTGTCAGAGTTGATTGAAAGTACACGAGACAGAAGGTTGTGGATAGATATGACTATCAACGCCACATGACATAGACATGGAAACAAAAAGAAGCATGGCATATACAATTTATAAACCTATAAATTCTCGTGTTCTTAAAATGTATTAGTAACTTAGTTAGTTAGTCTTTCCTCTTGTGTCGAGTGCGGCACATAGGGCAGAGGTCATGACTCTCCATGCATGGCGGTTCGTTGCAATCTGTTGTAGGTCTTGGATGTTTGAGTGGCCCATGAGCGAGCCTTCCCTGATGATAGTTCTACGGAGGGTTTCCCTTGGTCTTCCACGAGATCTTTTCCCCTGTGGTGTCCAAATGAGGGCTTGGTAAGGAAATTCGTAACTTAATGAATAATAATAATTCTCTTTTAGCGAGGGGAGCCGGGGGTTGAAGGGGGGGGGGGGGTACTGACTTGCTGGGTTTGTCTTGTATCCAACTGAGGATATTATGGTCGTCCTGTTCATTATGCTGTTAAAACGGCCGTGGAGAAAATTGAAAAGAAAAAAAAAAAAAGACAGGCAACGTGGTATAAAAAAAAAAAAAAACATTTGCATGAATAAAAAGGCGAAGGTAAAGTCGTGAGATGTCAACCAGCGTCATTGTACACGGTTATAAACCATAAGCGCTCAGCCACCAGTACGGACAGCGTATAAGAAACTGTCCACCCGTGTCGCCGTCCGCAAGCAAATCCGTAGCTTTAGCCAAGTTCTTCCATTTACCCCAGAGTGTTAACTGTAGTACCCATTTCCCAGAGGCTGGGTGAACCCAGGTAACCGTCTGGTTTCGAATTCAGCAGTGGGCTGCAGGGAGTCGCAGCTGGATTTAGAAGCGAGTCTTTTATCGACTGCGCTAACGCGGCCCTGTTTGCATGAATATGACTTGCAGTGGTGGCGTAGCATCGTCTCTGTCGGCTCTTAGCTCTTGGGTTCGAATCCACATCATGCGGAGTTTTTCTTTTTTTCGAAGTTAACTTTGGTCACAGTCGGATCAAGCCTAAGATGGATACCAGGTATTATTAACGTAACCCCTATGCCAGCTCCTTCTTACTGTTATTAATGACTTTTAGTTTTATGGTATACCTCCACGCGGTAGAGGATGGTAAACATATTGCGGTTTGGCCAACGCAGCAATGGGGAGCGATTATCCACCAGGATACATGGACACCTCTGGTGTGCCCTCTGCTGTTGGCATGAGCATCACAAAAAAGGAGCTCACTTGCCCTGGCAATCTGAAAGGTTGCTTAAGGCTGAGGACACTTAGATGTGCAGAGAAGGGGGAAACTACCACATCACTATCTGAAGAAACTCATCATGGAAGCCAAACATCGTACCAGGAAGGAGAGAAGGGTCCAACCAGCAAGAAGATGGGCACAGGATTTAAGTGACTCCTTGAATATGAAAGTACACGAGGTGAGAAAGCTGTCGAGAGACCGCGTTTCTTTCAGGCAGACCATGTTGACAGCGACGTTCTGCAAAGGGCCAGCTACATGATGATGATGGTGGTTAGTCTTATGTGACATTAATTTTGTGTTGCTGACTGAGTTCATTATAATGTCTTAGGGCGACGATGATATTTTAGGTTGTGCCTCAGATGCCAGTGGTAACGTGGTTCGTTTCACTGGAAAAAACAACCGATATTCATCGCCAGCATACTACACAGATGCTGTAAGTTGTTGAGTTAAATTTTTAGTGTGTTTGTATGTGTGTGTGTGTGTGTGTGTGTGTGAGAGAGAGAGAGAGAGAGAGAGAGAGAGAGAGAGAGAGAGAGGTTATATTTGTTTAAAAACAATTAATGTTCTGTGGTTGAGTGAGAGAGTGAGATAAAGACGGAGATTTGTAAGTAAAATCAATGTATTTTCCAGTGAGATACTTGTCAATCAAATTGTTGTTTGTATTATTAGAGGGGGGAGGGGAGGGGGAAGAAAAGGTAGAGAAAGAAGGAGAGAGACAGATAGACAGAAGAGAGAGAGATATATAAAGAGAGTAATAATTAGAATTCTGTGCTGCGAGTGTGAGAGAGTGAGAGTGGGCATTGTAAATAATAAAATGCGTGCGAGAGGTAGAGGATTGGGGTAGACAGATGGACAGTTGTAGGTAAAATATGTGTGAGAGAGAGATAGGGAGAGAGATAAATATAAAGAGGGAGTTATGTGTACAATCAGTCTCTCTCTCTCTCTCTCTGCGTGTGGGGGGGGGGGGGGGGGGGATTGAGATTTTAAGTAAAATCAATGCATATATGAGAGAAAGAGAGATGGTCAAGTGCAAGTAAAATTAATTTGTTTGTGTGTGAATGAGAGAGAGAGAGAAAGATAGTTTGTTTCCCCATTTCAGTGCCTGTTTTGTAATTCTGTGCTCATTTCGTCGACTCGCATGCTCAATATATCTTCACCTTCCTTGTCTTTTTGCATTCGATACAGGTGTTTGTCTAGACATTTCTCTGATCTACCGGTACCACTAATATTGGAACTCTGCGCTGGCTGCTAAAGATGAGAACGGAGCACGCATGGGATGCCTCGAGTGCTGTGATGTCAATTATTGACTCAACTCAACTCTTCTCTGATTTTATCACTCTTAATGAATGTAAACCATTTTATGTTCATGATTTTTCTCAGACACACACACACAGATGTGTGTGTGTGTGTGTGTGTGTGTGTGTGTGTGTGTGTGTGTGTGTGTGTGTGTGTATATATATATATATATATTATTTAACTAATCACACTAGGCTGTAATACTTGTCAACGGGAAAGTTCAAGACGACGTGCTGTTTTGCACAGTTCGAAGACCTATTGCTGCAGCAGCTAATGGCCGCAGGGATGTCAGCCAACCATGGACCATTCTGCTTGCCAGGGGAGTTGCTTCTATTGGTAAGTTTTTGGCCCCCCTCTCCCCCCACCCCCCTTTCCCCACAAAAAAACTATGTCATGTGACCCCAAAATAACAATAAATAATGAAGAAAATGTCACAAAATTCGAATATCTATGCTTTATAATAAATAGAAATGGAGACTGACGGAAATCAAAATGAGGATGACTATATCGATGCAAAGATTAAACAGCATTAAAAGTGTATGGTTAAGCACCAGCAAGGAAATCAATATTAAAATTTGAAGAGCATGCATCTTCTCTGTAGCAACATAGTCTAATAAAGAAAACCGGTCTTTTAACCTGAAATGCTATACACAGATTCTCAGAATACCACGGACAAAGTAGAGAACAAATACTGACATTTTACAAGATCTGAACATGAAGGAAGATCGGCTGGTAAACAGCATCCTGTCTCGGAAGCTCAAATATATTTGTTATATTGAACGCCACGGTGGAGGGGAAAAATAATAGAAGGCATGGTACCAGGAAGGAGGAGCAGAGGCCGACCAACACGAAAATGGGAACAGGATAAAAGTTTAAAGGAGATCCAGTTTTAGGTCCTCTATAAGGCAATGACTGTTTATTCTGTCGGAGTCAAAAATAAATTTACCTACCCTGCACAGTTCGTGGCGACTGCACTGGCCAGGTGGCCATAATATCTCAGACTCGAGTTTTTTCTAGCTTCATTAATCAGTCCAGTGAAGTATCCGCAATAAAAGTTGGTTGCAATGGATCTTCTCTCTCATTCTCTTTCACTCTCTCTCTCTCTCTCTCTCTCTCTCTCTCTCTCTCTCTCTCTCTCTCTCTCTCTCGCTCTCACTCACCCACTGGCTGGCTCTTTTGTGTCTTGGTTGTACACTCTCTCAGACTGCTGATCTTATATCTCTCGATGCGATGTTCCTTGGCTGACAACGTATCTTCTTCGCCACGATTCAGCTTTAAATGATTACTGCAACATATCTACTGGCACTGCTCTAACATCTAGGACTGATAACACTAACGCCGCTTAGCTTCTTTGTACATGCTGTCAGTTTATCCCGTTGCATTCATTCAACACGCTCCAACTATTATTCATACTTCCATCGCTTGCGATATATTCAAACACTGGTCATTCGCACGACACAAGAACTACATCTTCTATTAACATAGCCGTCTTCTACGACTTCTGGTAACCAACTAACCACGAGTCCAGCTCGGGCTTTCCCTCGCTCACTCGACCAGCCACACGTATCTCTTGCCGTCACTTGTAGCACGGACTTTCTGCTTGCCACAATGTACGCGTGGAAACCATGCAAAGCACCTCATCACAAACAATAATACTACAATAGACAAAAAAAATTTTTTTTAATACACTGTTACAAGGAATTAAGATGAAAACTATGTTTCAACAGAAGCTGAAATAATAAGTAAATAGCAAAACAGCTAAATTACTGACTGACTGATTTTCTACCCCACTAGGACATCACACAAGCGATAAAAACCCGATGACACAAAGTGCCACCATGTGGATGAGGATCGCCGTGGAGAGGTCCCAGAAACCGCGTTCAGACAATTTGCCACATTTATGACCTGCCTATATTGCGGTCCCTGGCAAAAGCCAGGGTGGGGCTTCAAATAACAAAAAATTTCGTCCTGAAAAGGACAAAACTGGATTAATTACGAATTAATAACACCAAAGAGCTGAAAGCGTAGCACACTATGACAAAAAGAGCTAACATTTTAGCAGCATGACAGAAGAAGCTAAAAAGAAATAACACACTACCAAAAAGATTAAAAGATAGTTATTATGCTTGAGCAGAAGCTAAAATAATAAGTCTATTGCAAAGAGATAAATTAATAATACCTTGACATAAATGCTGAAACAATAACACACAAGAGATAACATTTTAACACCATGACAGGACAACAACAACAACAACAATAAAAAGTACGACAGAGTAAGCTAAAATGTTAGCACACTATTGCCTGGAGTTAGGGTAATACAGTAATTATGTTTCAACAGAAGCTAGAGAATTCCTTTCGTTCTTTTCATGACTTCTAAATTTCCATCAATATTTTTGAAACATTCTGTCTTTAATTGTTTTTAGCTTTCTTCTTTTGTTAATCTGACAGTTATTACATCTATGGTTTAACACCCACACCTACGTGTGCGCACACACACACACACACCCATACACCAAAACACACGTACATACACACATACATACATACCAATATACTCACATGCACCAACTTGAACAAATATACACATACATGAGCGCACACACACACATTACTGGGTGTTAGTAAGGATTATATATTATCAATTATATAGTATCGGGACAAGCTGTGATTCAGAAACATCTTCCAAGCAATCGGTTTGTTTGGAGCCAAAAAGTCAACGTCTCTGACATTGTAGATATCGGAGCCTCAGGATTAGAAGGATCTCAGTCAAACAAACCCCGACTAATCAAAGCTCACGGTGAGTTTGAATTTCATACTGTTTAAACTAGTCCTTTTCCATCATCATCATTATCATCATCATCACCACCATCAGTGATTGCCTTGCCGACTGGCGTGGGCGATCATGCCTCTCCCAAATCTGCGATCTCCTGCAGCATGTATCAGTTCGTATGCCGACATACCGCCATGCCAGGCAACAAGACTGTCAAGAATCTTCTCTCGTTGTCTTCCTCTATCCCTCCTTTCACAGATCTGTCCTGTGGTCACAACATGTTCTATTTTCCCTATTCTCATAACATGGCCTAAAAGTGATGACTGTCTCCTCCCGATGTCTGTGATAAGTTGTCTTCGGGCTCCCGCCTCTTTCAAAAAAATCTTGGTTGCTTTTTTTGGCTGTCCAAGGTATTCTAAGCATTCTAAGAAATTGTTTGGCCTGCCTGTCGATTGTCCAGGATACACAGCCATATGTTAAAACTGGATGTATGTAGCAAGCAAGAATTCTTTTTCTGACTCTCAATGATAAAGATATATTGCACAAAATGTTCTTCATTTTATAAAATGCAGTTTTTGACTGTCCTATTCTGTTTCTTATCTCAATGCCCAGATACTTAAATATACATATTCCATTTGATGTTATCCATGTGCCCAGATATTTAAATATACATCTTCCATCTGATGTTATCCATGTGCCCAGATACTTAAATATACATCTTCCATCTGATGTTATCCATGTGCCTAGATACTTAAATATACATCTTCCATCTGATGTTATCCATGTGGCCAGATACTTAAATTTCTGTACTTGTCCCAAAATAACACCATCAATAACATTTTTCTCATGCGGGACGTAATTTTTCGTTATTTGAAGCCCCACCTTGGCGATGGTCTGGGGTTCTAATTATAACCCTACTGGTTGAGCGGAGTTTCTGGGACCTGTTCCTGGGTGATCCTCATCCGAATGGTGGCACTTTGTGACACTGGATGTTAATCGCTCGTTGTGATTTGCTGGTGGGGCTTAACGTCAATGAGTCATTTCCCAGTACTGCTTATAACATTTGTCAGGCATGTTCTTTATGTCGGCGCGCCGGTGCTATTCTTTAACTTGTAGAATAATTTACTCACTTTACTGTACGTGTATTCTTTATCATCGCGGCGTCGGTGGCTTAGGCGTTGCGAGTCTGACTCGTAATCCAACGTACCGCGATCGAAACCCACTACTGGGTGCGTGGATTTTTATCATGGTATGGGGCGTCGCAGGTCGACCTAGCCTAAAATGGGGACCAGGATGGCTGTCCTAAGTAAAGACGGCCGGCGTAATGCTGACAACATTACCCACCTAGTGGTGCTTGATCTGTTAGAAAATGGGCGCTCTTTCTATATTAATGCCGGGATGCCGGGTTCGATACCAGCTGCAGGCCATGCGCCCTGCGTTGGTTTCGACAGTGGCATCAAGAAAGCCGACCGTCAAGAAAGCAATGGCAAACTACTGTTGGGGTTGGTTCTTCACCGTCCTGTAAATGATACGCAACTAACCTTTTCATATACCCGATACGCCTAAGGCGTGAATAGGTATCTTTATTCTGTATCATCATCATGAACCGTTTCTTTCACTCCTAACAGGCAGCCTCATGATTACCGCGTGGATATTTTTGGCCAGTATTGGAATCGTGCTGGCCAGGTACTACAAGCCTGTGTGGTCAGGTTCAATGTGTTCAGAAAAGGTTTGGTTTCAAGTAAGTTTTAATCTGTCTACTTAACAGAACGTATTTTTATCACATATATTATAAATCTAGATTTTAAAAGACAGTCGCACTTGATGGCTGATGTCGTCAGCATTACGTCACCTTTCTTCCCACGACATTTCTTGGCTGGGTGGACCTGAAAAAAACTGCCAATTATTGCCTTTATTTTACCACTTTTGAGGTGTAGGCAGGGGGTCATTCAGTCATCAGTTCTCGTTATGCCTAGTTGCACATGAGGCTTCAGAGAGGACTTTCCATGCTTTCCTGTCCTGTGCAATCTTCAGTGCAGTTTTCCATGTCAAAGATGCCGCACTCAGGTCACTTTCCATCGTTCATCTCCATGTTGTTTTTGGGCGCCCGTTTTCTCTTTCCCTCTGGTGTCCATGTGAGAGCTGTTTTGGCAGGTATATCAGAAGTCATTCTCATAACGTAGCCAAGCCATTTCCATCTTCTCTTTGTAATCATGCTGTCTAAAGTTTCTTGGTTTGGGGCTTGAAGTAGTTTAGTTTTTGAGATTGTATCTGGCAGGGGGTATTTGAGCCTGAGGATTTACGGCCGCATGGCTAGTGCTGTCGCCTCGACTGTGCAGGTGAGGATTTTATTTTGCCCCCGACAGAAAAAAAAACCCAGCCTTACCGAGGATTCGAACCCAGGTCTCCTGTTTGTGAACCCAGCATTCTAACCGTTCAGCCAGCCGCTCCTCTGGTGGACCTAAAAGTTGGCGTTATAAAACAACTTATATATATAAATCAGCGGATTGGATCCAAAGACCCTTTGGACAGCAGGCCAGCACATTGCTACTGCATTACTGTGGGTTTCAGTGAAGTAGTATGTGTGTGTGTGTGTGGGGGGGGGCGCTGTCAAGCTACTGGATGCATACAGTAATAATGTTATCGTCGTCATTATCGTCATCATCATTATCATCATCATCGTCGTCGTCTTCGTCATCATCATTAACATCATCATCATCTTCATCATAATTGTCATCATCTTCATCGTCATCATCATCATCATCATCATTAACATCATTATCATCATCATCATCATTAACATCTTCTTCATCATCATCATCATCGTCATCATCGTCATCATCATCATCATCGTCAGCATCTTCATCATCATAATCGTCATCATCGTCATCATCATCGTTATCGTCATCATCATCATCGTGATCCTCATCATCATTGTTATCGTCATCATCATCATCCTCGTTCCGCAACACTGCGTGTCGCTGGATCCCCATTTGGTGTTGCCTGGCTGATCAGATCTCTCCACCTTTGACGGTCAGTTGCGATGGACTTCTTGGTTGCATGCCCAAGTCCTGTCCAGTCAGTCAAGTTCTGTTTCCAGGTCTTTCTTGGTTTGCCTTTTCTCCCCTTCTGAACCCTGCAATATTGCTCCTGAGAGGCCAATTAGATCTGATTTCACTACCGCTCCCTTGTTTTGTCCGTTTGTTCACAGAACCTAAAAGATGTTCCATAGTTGTCAATAAGCTGGTTAATTATATGGCGAATCTTGTCATTTGTGATGTGGTCTCTGTACATAAGCAAGTAAGTTATCCCCCCAACAGGACATCACACCAGCAATAAACACCTGGTGACACAAAGTGCCACCATGCGCATGAGGATAATCCATGGAGAGGTCCCAGAAACCTCGTTCAGACGTCAGCTATATTTATGACCTGGCTATATTTAGGGCCTCCGGCAAATGCCAGGGTAGGGTTTCCACACAAAAAAACTGCATACCACTAGGGGACGACTTGTGATGTGGGTCAGCGCCACGCAAGGCCCTTTCTACTTCCCATGACTGCACCTGGTACCCAGTCAAGGCGGGGTCGATGTGGGAGTCAAGGTCATTTTTGAAAAAAAAAATGTCCGGCTTCTTGAGGACGCAAACCCGTGACCTTCCGATCGACAGGTGCGGGCATATAGCTGCTAACGTCACGGCCATGTAAGACAGTGTGCTTTCAAACCCGAAGGAATAAATGGAGACAAGCAACTTTAATGACAAATAAAGCTGGAAGTGAAAAAAAAATGCAAGGGACTTGGAATAAGCTGCGCATGATTGAAAAGGAATGGGTGTCGTGGTGCGTAGTTGGGCCCTATGCAGAAGAAGAAAAGACAGAAGAAGAAGAAGAAGAAGAAAAAGAAGAAGAAGAAGATGAGAAGGAAGAAAGAAGAAGAAAAGAGAGAAGAAGAAAGAAGAAGAAGAAGAAGAGAAGAAGAAGAAGAAGAAGAAGAAGAAGAAGAAGAAGAAGAAGAAGAAGAAGAAAGAAGAAGAAGAAGAAGAGAAGAAGAAGAAGAAGAAGAAGAAGAGAAGAAGAAGAACGAAGAAGAAGAAGAAGAAGAAAAGAAGAAGAAGAAGAAGAAGAAAAGAATAAGAAAAAGAATAAGAAGAAGAAGAAGAAGAAAAGAAAAAAAGAAGAAAGAAGAAAAGAAGAAGAAGAAGAAGAAGAAGAAGAAGAAGAAGAAGAAGAAGAAAGAAGAAGAAGAAGAAGAAGAAGAAGAAGAAGAAGAAGAAGAAGAAGAAGAAGAAAGAAGAAGAAAAGAAGAAGAAGAAGAAGAAGAAGAAGAAGAAGAAGAAGAAGAAGAAGAAGAAGAAAGAAGAAAGAAGAAGAAGAAGAAGAAGAAGAAGAAGAAGAAGAAGAAGAAGAAGAAGAAGAAGAAAGAAGAAGAAAAGAAAAAAGAAAAAGAAAAAGAAAAGAAGAAGAAGAAGAAGAAAGAAGAAGAAGAAGAAGAAGAAGAAGAAGAAGAAGAAGAAGAAGAAGGGCAAGAAGAAGAAGAAGAAGAAGAAGAAGAAGAAGAAGAAGAAGAAGAAGAAGAAGAAAGAAGAGAGAAGAAGAAGAAGGAGAAGAAGAAGAAGAAGGAGAAGAAGAAGGGGGGGGAGAAGGAAGAAGGAGAAGAAGAAGAAGAAGAGAAGAAGAAGGAAAAGAAGAAGAAGAAAAAGAGAAGAAGAAAAAGAAGAAGAGGGGAAAAAAGAAGAATAAGAAAAAAGAAAAAGAAGAAGAAGAAGAAGAAGAAGAAGAAGAATAAAGAAATAAAGAAGAAGAAGAAGAAGAAGAAGAAGAAGAAGGAAGAAGAAGAAGAAGACTTAAGAAGAAGAAGAAGAGGAAAGAAGAAGAAGAAGAAGAAGAAAGAAGAAGAAGAAGAAGAAGAAGAAGAAAAGAAGAAAAAGAAGAAGAAGAAGAAGAAGAAGAAAAGAAGAAGAAGAAGAAGAAGGAAGAAGAAGAAGAAGAAGACAGAAGACAGAAGACAGAAGACAGAAGAAGAAGAAAGAAGAAGAAGAAGAAGAAGAAGAAGAAGAAAGAAGAAGAAGAAGAAGAAGAAGGAAGAAGAAGAAGAAGACAGAAGAATCAAGAAGAAGAAGAAGAAAGAAGAAGAAGAAAGAAGATAGAAGAAGAAGAAGAAGAAGAAGAAGAAGAAGAAGAAGAAGAAGAAGAGAAGAAGAAGAAGAAGAAGAAGAAGAAGAAGAAGAAGAGAAGAAGAAGAAGAAAAAGAAGAAGAGAAGAAGAAGAAGAAGAAGAAGAAGAAGAGAAGAAGAAGAGGAAGAGAAGAAGAAGAAGAGGAAAAAAGAAGAGGAAGAGGAAGAAGAAGAGGAAGAGGAAAAAAGAAGAGGAAAAAGAAAAAGAAGAGGAAAAAGAAAAAGAAGAAGAAGAAAGAGAAGAAGAAGAACAACAACAACAGCAATAACATTAACAAAAACATTTACAAGTAACATTAACAATAACATTAACAATAACAACAACAGCAACAACAACAACAACAAGGAAATATTTTCGAAGGAGGAAAGAGAAGAGGTGCCAGGTGAGACTGAAAAATACCCAGGATAAAATGTAGTGTTTTCCATTGCTTGTACGATCATTCAAATGTGTAATATGTAATAATTTTGTAGCTATTCTTTTTCAACAGCTCCACAGAATTTGCATGATTTTAGTGTTTTGTGCTACCACTGCCGGTTTCGTCATGATTTTTGTAGCAATTGATGGTTACAGCAAGGTAAATATGTTGTTAGTAAATGTTTGTTTGTTTTTGTTTTAAAGAAAGAAACTGACTCTTGAAGAGCTGGTTGCTCAGGTCAGAAAGGGACAATCTACATTCTTTGGTCATTTCATGAACAAGAGAAAACTGAAGTACATCGTGACAGTAGGAAAGTTGGAGGGAAAGTGAGGCAGGAGGAGGCGGAGAGAAAATGTGCTGAACAGTTTGACATTACGGCATGGAGGCTCTTCGGTAGAACTGATAAAAGTAGGGGAGACAGAATGTTGTGGATATATATAACTACCAACGACACACGGCATAGACTCTAAGAAAAGGAAGAAACAATTTTATTTTAAATCTAAATTTAACAAGCCGTTCCTTCATCTTCTGAATATGCAATTCACAACACCGTGTGCAAAAAAGAAAATCATTTCAGCGTGAAATCAAATGTTCACAGTACTGCACTATGCACTGATCACGATAGCTGGGTGATAGATCTGTACCTAAAATACATTTCTGGGGGAAAAGGTCAGCAAACAAGTCAAACAACGCACACACAAACACACACACACACACGCAATGACTAAAGGTAAAGTCGGGAGGTGTGAATCAGCGTCATTGCACACGGTTATAAGCCATAAGTGCTCTAACACTGATTAAAATCTGTCCGCCTGTGTCTCCGTTCGGACAAAACCTCCGTAGTTACAGCGACGTTCCTACATTTACCCCAGAGTGTCAACTCTGGTACTCATTTCCTAGAGGCTGGGTGAACCCCGGGAACCGTCGGGTTTCGAACACTATCCGTTGGCTGCAGCGAGTCGCTGCTGGATTTGAAAGCGAGTCTCTTATCGACTGCGCTAACGCGGCCCCCTACACAACGGTTTTTAGGTTGAAAAAGTGAAATTATGTGGTTTAACATTTCAAGAGTGCCTTTATTTTCAGATTGAGGAGGAGGGCATGTCATTTCTTGTTGGTCACCCTATCATTGGTATTATTGTGATGATACTGACGGTTATAAATGTGAGTATTCCTTAATTTATTGGTTCTCATTTGATCTTCGCCAGGTACTGGGGCAGCTAGTCTCTTCTTACATCATGAGTTACCCAATTACCTAAAAAAAAAAAAAAAACATCTCATTAAAATTCCAACCTATGCTACTAGTGACACACATGATCACACAGAAGACACTTTAGAAAACAGTTATTACCTATGGAAAATAAAGATGTCCTAGAAGGGCCGCAGGAGTGATCAGAAGAGATCAAATCAGAAATGATGTCATTAGAGAACAGGTTGGCATAGAACCAATTAAAAACTACATACAAAGACAGCAGATAAAATGGCCTGACCACTTAGAGAGAATGCCTTGTGACGCAATATCATACAGGGCAAAAGAGAAGGATAAAGAGTAGAAAGTAGACTAAAAACAAGATATAAAGATAATATAAGAGCAATTCTACAACATCATGATGTGTCTTAGAGAAATTCTTCAACATCACAATATGTCTGAGAGAAATTGTACAACATCACGACGTGTCTCAGAGCAATTCAACAACTTCATGACGTGTCTATCACCGAAAACGGTCAGAAGAGAAGGAAGCAGACCCTTACATCTGCCTCGACTCCCAAAGCGTTAACAGAAGAAGTGAACAAGAAGAGCAGAAAAAAAGAAGAATAAGCTAATATCTGATAGCCATTTTTTATCAGTCTACCACTGAACCCATACTTTTTAAAAGTCATATATACGAGTAAATTATTTGTGTTATGAACGTTAGAAGATGGGAGAATCCTTCGAATTCCAGGGACAACCAAAAAGCAACCCAGAAGTTTTTGAAAGAGGTGATGGCTCGATGACAACTTATCACAAACATCAGAAAGAGACAGGATAGCTGTTGTGTGATTTTTTTTTGTTTGGGTGGGGGGGGGGGGGGGGGGGGGGAATCATGTTATGAGAAGAGGGAAATTGGAACATGCTGTGACTGCTAGAAAGATAAGTTGGGGGTGGGGGGGGGGGGGGAAGAGGAAGACAACAGAAGATAAGATAGGGTGTCAGTGCACATAAATTTTCTTCTTTTTCTTGTTCACCAACTCTGGCGGAAAGTTCTGGTTGTTCATCCAATTCTGGATTGCAGTCCTGTTCCAGAACCTGAATGTTACTTGTGCATCCGTTTTACAGATCTGACTCATTTGTATGCAGACTGCTGTTTCCTTGCCTCTCAGGCTGATGCTCTCTGACTTCGAAGGAAGCTCCCAGTTAGTCGACTCTTACGACATGCTTTTGAGTAGGCAGTGGGGTCTATTCTTGTTTTCCCTATAACAGGGCTCCGGAACCCACACATGGGAAATGATGCACGCAGTTGCACATCACAGATTGGGGGAGAGGTATAATCACTAGAGCCAGTCGGCAAACCACTAGATGATGATGAGAAGATGGGATTACATTGTAAAGTTATGGGGAGGGTTGTATTAGTATTATGACCCCTTAAATTTGTTCCATAGATCCACAGGAGGTTCACGAACCAGCACATAGAAATAAACTGCTTTAATAGAATATATGCCTTCTCGTTTATATTTGTATTAACTATTTATATCTTCTTATTAATTGTTGTTTGTTTGTTTGAGAACATTCGACACTAGATTTTAGGCTCCTCACAATAGGCCATAGGTTGGTACATTATGTTACACAGATTGCAAGATATAAATACAAACATGACTACCTACAAAACTCTTTTCTTCCCCAAGGTAAATCTTGGGAACTTATGTAAAAAACTGACACCGTTATTTATTAAGACACCCACACATAAGTATAACCACCACACATTTGAAAAAAAAAAATGAAGCTCAAAAACAACACATCCGTAACAACACCGTGCTGCCAGTTCTAGACTTGGGCATTATAAAATGCAAAATTTTGTAAAATTAACGCCTGTAAAATGAAACGCCTGAGCAAAGTCGCCAACTTAACCGACAAAGTGAGAAACGATATTTCAGTCAGACCGTGGGGACAGCCCAATGCGTCAGATTCATTGAGAAACAGAAGATCAACATTTTTGGTTATCTCGTTAAAAATCACTCAGATCAACTACCAAAACATACGCTACATTTGACAAGATCTCATGTGAAAGCAAGAGGTCGCCCTAAGAGAAATCAGACTGATGACATTAAAGACCTTCCACGAGGACACGGAATGGCGACATAAATTTCTACACATCAAGCAATGGATTACAATCTGCTACTCCCCATGTCGCTTAACGACAAAGGTGGAAATTGATCATGATGACTGTTGTTAATTCTTTCTGTTGAAAGTTCTCATTTGAAACATCTACAATTTCTTTCCCTAACTCAGCCGGTAATGGCACTGTTCCGACCCCATCCAGGAACCCCCAGACGACCCATCTTCAACTGGGGGCATTGGTTTGTGGGTACTGCAGCTCACATCTTAGCGGGTAAGTATTCCAACAAGACAACTTGACAGCTGTAGTTGAATTCTTAAGGAAAGAGATTTTCTCATGCTGTTGGCGCAAAGAGTATATGGTGCTGAAATATTATATTATATTATATTATATTATATTATATTATATTATATTATATTATATTATATTATATTATAATATATTTTATTATATTATATTATATTATATTATATTATATTATATTATATTATATTATATTATATTATATTATATTATATTATATTATTTATATTATATTATATTATATTTATATTATATTATATTATATTATATTATATTATATTATATTATATTTTATTTTATTTATATTATATTATATTATATCTTATTATATATAGTATTATATTATATTATATTATATTATATTATATTATATTATATTATATTATATTATATTATATTATATATTATATTATATTTTCTTTTACTTCTTCTTCGGCATTCCGAGCCGTTGAGGTTCATTACTACAGATATCACTAGCCTCCATTCATCTCTCCGATTGGCCTTTTCTTTCTAGGTGGTGACATCAAGTGTTCACAGGTCTGCCTGGAAATTATCTCTCCATTGTCTTTTTGGTCTGCCTCGTGGTCTACGACCATTCATCTCCCATGTGTATACAGTTTTTACTTCTCTGCCACCTGACATTCTTTAAATATGCCATTATATTATATTATATTATATTATATTATATTATATTATATTATATTATATTATATTATATTATATTATATTATATTATATTATATTATATTATATTATATTATATTATATTATATTATGTTATGTTATGTTATGTTATGTTATGTTATGTTATGTTATGTTATATTATATTATATTATGTTATGTTATGTTATGTTATGTTATGTTATGTTATGTTATGTTATGTTATATTATATTATATTATATTATATTATATTATATTATATTATATTATATTATATTATATTATATTATATTATATTATATTATATTATATTATATTATATTATACTACATTGCTCATATCATATCGTATCAGATTTCATTATATTGTATTGTATTCGGTTGCATTAAATGAATCTGCATTATATTATATTGCATTATATCACATTATAGGGCATTATGTTATATGATATTATATATAAATTTGTTACATTGTAAATTGTTATAACACCCACTGCACCTTGAACTGAATACATGTAGGTATAACAGACTTAAACAAGGACAGTCTTGGTTGGGTCCGGCAGAGACAGTACTTTAACGGGGGATTTTATTTCAAGACTTAACACTGTGGAGAGGAATTGATATCCATAGCAAACGAATACAAGCAGTACTTTGTGGTAGCTTCACCTGGACGCCTCCAGTTGTTGATGCAGAGGGGAAAACAATAGCGGAGGAATGCGCTTTATTGCTTCTGCACCACTGTGGGTTTCAGTTGGATAGTATGTGTGTCTGTGTGTGTGTTGGTGGGGGGAGGGAACTGTCAATTTACAGGATGCATTCACTAAAAAAAGTCATCGTCATCATCATTGTCATCATCATCGTCATAACCATTGTCATCATCATCGATATCATCATCATCGATATCATCATCATCGTCATCATCGTCATTATTATCGTCATTATCATCGTCATCGTCATCATAATCATCATCATAATCGTCATCATCATTATCGTCATCATCATCTTCATCGTCATTATCATCGTCATCGTCATCATCATCGTCATCATCATCGTCTTCATCATCATCGTCATCATCGTCATCATCATTACCGGAATGTTGAATTGAGAATCGACATCACAGCACTTTGAACACTCTCATAAGAGCCTCGTCTCCATCTTAAGCAGCAAGAAAATGATTCCACTCGATGATTCCAGTAACTGTCTGGTAGTATATCAATCTCGCCTTTCCCTTGAGTGTTGAGCGTCGGCCAGATCCACTGGTTACTGCTCGTGGCGCCATACGCATCACTGAAAGATGCTGTTCTGTTTACATATTATTCAGTCATTCGTCAAAAGCGAAGAGTATGGCCTTTCGCGGAGAGAACCAAAGGAAGTCATCGCAGGGGACTGTGGAGCCTTTGCTTCTACCACAAGCAGCACGATAATGGAGGTCATGGCTGTGGTTTAAGCTCTAGAATGACTGAAAGCTCAGGAATTCGCCAATGCATGTTTGCTCAGCGACTCAGCGGGCATGCTACAGAAGATCAAGGCGGCGTATGTACGGAAACAGGGGATCCATCTGATACAGCATCCAGCGATTCGCAGAACCATCTTCATTTTTTTTGTCAGAGGTTATAGTGATGTGAAAGGCAATAAGAGCACAGATACCCAGTCTGGCAGTTCGACTATCAAAATTGGGCCATCTTTGGACAGAGAGTGCCATCAGAGAGAGCAAACGCTCTGAGTCCTTCAGTTTCGTGGGGAAAAAAACAGATTCTTCAGTACGTAAACTGCACACACTGGGTGTACCATTTGAAGCGGCGAGAGAAGAAAATCATGCGGGAAGCACCGTCGTTACATCACCCAGAAAATAATGGGGTTTTCATCTTCAAAACTTTTAGAGATATACCCAGGAGGAGATATAAGCACTTATGTTCATGTTCAGTATGTGATGAAGATACTTTTAAATGAACAATGAACATTACAACAGTTCTTAGTATTGATTACTTTCTACTCCCCTGCCAGTGGTCAACGTTTTCTTCGGAGTGCTCTTATCACTGTCCGATGTTCCCTATTACTTGGTCTACATCCTGGGTGCCTATGTTGCCTGGCAGATCTTCGTGGAGTTGTTGCTGGAGCTGCTGTCGTTCTTTGGACGTAAACTGGGTAAATACGTTGATTTGCTGTTTTCTGAAGAGTTTGAACAGGATTTTAGACTGTAATGGCAATCAAGAACAGCCTGGGGAAGCTCTCTTTATAAAGGTTATCTAGAGAACATCATTTTATAAAAGTTATGTAGAAAACCTCACTTGTTAAAGGTTATCAAGAGAACTTCAGAAAAGTTACTCTATAAATATTTTCTAGAGAACCTCCCTTTATAAGAGGGGGCTGGGTGGTCTCGAAGCATAGTGTCCGCCTCGAGTGCTAGAGGTTCCAGGCTCAATTCCCGGTAAAGGCTGGGAATTTGTCAGATGGACTTGGATTTCTAATAATTTCCCCTGGTCTCTGGGTAGTGGGATCGGACGCCCGTGTGCATTGTTGCGTACGTAAAATATCCTTTAGCAGTTGGAAATAAAAAAGTGTAGCCTAACGGCGCTGTCCGGGCAAAATGTGGAGTCAAAAATCTACGCAAAGTATTTCAGGATCCTAGCCGGTGCACTGTGCTGAGCTTCTTCAGACTCAGACTTGAGTTAAAATATGGCCTCTCCACGGGTGATCCTCATCCGCATGGTGGTACTTTGTGTCATCGGGTGTTAATCGCTTGTATGATGTCCTGGTGGGGTAAATTTGAGAGAGAGAGAGATAGAGAGAGAGTGAGTGAGAGAGAGAGAGAGAGAGAGAGAGAGAGAGAGAGAGTAATGTCATGGACGAAATCTGTCCGCCATGGTGAAGATCTTAAGTACGGCTTATACTTGCTGATTGGTCTATAAAATATAGGTTTAGCCCTATATGCCATATACGCCTTAAGGCGTGGAAAGGGGTCCGTTACTTCACTTTTACTTATATTTCAAGCATTCGGAAAATCATGCTTGGAGGTTAACCGGGGTGAGCCTTATTGTCGGGCCAACCAAGTAGTATGCACATATGGTTATGTGGATATGTTTGCAACGGTTCCTTAATCATAATTACCCGTCTCGTTTTCAGAGCGAAGTGAAACATATGAAATGAATTCTGATAGCGGTGACAAAATGACATCTGCAGTAGAAAGTTCAACTGTAAGTAAACATGTTTTAAAATTAAATGTGCAGCGAATGTCTGATAAAATTAGATGAGCTCTTTCAGTGCGAAAAGATTGTACAAGTTCCCAGAGAGAACAAAGAAAACAATAGAGAAAGCATAAGTGTCTTAAATTATTCAGACAATACAACCAAAATAGGGATAGACATTCATTAGTTTATTACATGTATAATAACTTCATTTTTTCTTCTTCTTCTTCTTCTTCTTCTTCTTCTTCTTCTTCTTCTTCTTCTTCTTCTTCTTCTTCTTCTTCTTCTTCTTCTTCTTCTTCTTCTTCCTCTTCCTCTTCTTCTTCTTCTTCTTCTTCTTCTTCTTCTTCTTCTTCTTCTTCTTCTTCTTCTTCTTCTTCTTCTTCTTCTTCTTCTTCTTCTTCTTCTTCCTCTTCTTCTTCTTCTTCTTCTTCTTCTTCTTCTTCTTCTTCCTCTTCCTCTTTCTTCTTCTTCTTCTTCTTTTCTTCTTCTTCTTTCTTCTTCTTCTTCCTCTTCTTCTTCTTCTTCTTCTTCTTCTTCTTCTTCTTCTTCTTCTTCTTCTTCTTCTTCTTCTTCTTCTTCTTCTTCTTCTTCTTCTTCTTCTTCTTCTTCTTTCTTCTTTTTTTTCTTCTTCTTCTTCTTCTTCTTCCTTCTTCTTCTTCTTCTTCTTCTTCTTCTTTCTTCTTCTTCTTCTTCTTCTTCTTCTTCTTCTTCTTCTTCTTCTTCTTCTTCTTCTTCTTCTTCTTTTTTTTCTTCTTCTTCTTTTTCTTCTTCTTTCTCTTTTTCTTCTTTTATTCCTCGTCTTTTTTTAAATTATTCACAGCATTTCAAGCCACTGAGGTTCACTGCCACAGATAATCACCTGCCTCCATTCATCTCTTTTATAGGCCCTCTTTGCATTCGGTGACTGCAAGTGTTTTTAGGACTCCTTCTGTATTATCTCTTCACCTTCTTTTTGATGTGTCTTGTTGTCTTTTCCCCTTTTCAGCTCTTCTGTGTACTCAGTTTTTTTGGGAGGGGGGGGGGGGTGGATTCACCCTGTTGTCTGCATGCTCTCTCCATGCTGCATTTATTGCTGTCATCTAACACCTGATGTTAGTAATTAATCAACCATTCAACAAATTGTAACCCCCCCCCCCCCCTTTTTTTCCTTTTTGTGCCTTTTCACTCTCTGCTCTCCTCTGCTTTATTCTTTTAGCCAATACAACAACCATGTTTGAAATGCATAACTGTATTTCATTAATCAGGCGTGACAATAACGACAATGAAAAAAAAAAGGACAACTGTATTAATTTAAAGAAGCAACGTTTTACTGTTTTATATATTTCGGCTATCCTCCGAATAACGGTCCCAAATTATCGAGGTCAAAAATATACCCAAACAGGGCCTCATTCACACGTAAATTGCGAATTTCTGGCGACTACCGCCCACCGCCGAGGGTATCTCCGTGTCGCTACGCGCTTCACGGAGAGGAGCGAAACTAGATAGCTGGGACTCACGAGCAAAAAAATGAAGGAAGCTGAAGGAGATGCGGTAGCTGCTGCTCGTGAGTCACAGCCATCTAGTTTATCCCCGCTTCGCGCCGCGCGTAGTGGCGCTTAAGATACTACTCGGCGGTGGCAATTCAAGTCGCCGGAAGTCCTCTATTTACATGTGTCGGAGGCCCTGTTAGGGCATATTTTCGGATTCGATAATCTGGGACCGATAATGAGGATAGCCTATGTTTCTAATAAGTTAACTTCACTCTCTAACTCCGTTCTTCGTGTGTTTTTCCTGTCATTCCTGTCATCCTGTGGGTTTCAGTGCAAAGACATTCTAGCTGTATTGTTGGTGGGTAATCTCAAAATACGGCCTATCCAACAATATCTCTTCCTCCTCTCCCGATTCAATGGAATTTGTTTAGTTATTTCCCAAAGCTCAACAGTGATAATTATGTCATACTATTTACCGTAATTTCCGCTATACTGCACATGCACCAGATAATGAATATCTGTAATATTGCTGAGCCCTCCTTCCCCCCGTTCGGAGTTGAAAAAAAAGGGGGAAAAGGGGGCGGGGGGGGGGGGGGGGACAGACAAGGAACAGTAGCGCTGAAACTTATCAGGCAAGTCGAAAGAGCCGACTAAGGGTAGGGTAAGGCTTGAGGCGGGCTCTTGCATCCTGTAAAATACTAAAGCGACAAAAACCACCCAGCCGTGAAAAGTTTTTAAACAGATAAAAGTAAAGTAAAGGACCTTTTTTGCCACGCCTTCCGGCGTTTTGGGCATATAGTACTAAGACTATATTTTAGATACTAATCGACGCGTCTTGTGTGATGCGGTCAACATTTGATACACTTAATAATGTGCTTCATAATATCCGACTTATTTGATCAATGTGTACCTTGCCATAAGGCGTAGTCACTCGTGTCCCTCCACAGAAATTAGTCCTTGATTTGAACTAAATCCACTGCTAATATTCCTTTGCGCCATCGAATATCGTTTCTCTTGGTCTCCCTTGCTACTGTTTTCTCTCCAGTCATGACGATATACTCCAGTGCCTCTCTTCTTGTAACATTATCAGCTATTGCATTATATATAGATGATATATTTTGTCTGATTATTAAAAAAGCCAACCTTCTTTTTCTTTTGTCGTCTCATGGACACCAGGTTGTAGCCCAGTGTCGTGGTTTTCTGCATTTGTCTTGTACTTCTCTGGTAGCTTGAGTGGTGGATTTGTTCATCTTTTTGCAGGTTTTAATTACACAATGTATCCGTCTCTTTCTTGGTGTTCCCCTCGCCCTCCTTCCAGATGTTCTTCTGTAAAAAAAAAAAATCTATCTCATATGCAGTTTGATCTGGCTGCATTCTCAGTAAATAGCCGAACCAGTTGATTCTGTGCAGGAGCAGATCAACCCTGAGCTTCATGAACTCGGGTGGGCCCACCCTCCGAAAATGTCTAGGAGCTCGTGGGCCGAAACATTTGTCGACGAGAGATTACTTTTACTGACGATTGGTAGACTCCTGCTGTACATGCTTCCCTGTGGAGTTTCTTCTGATCCTATTTTGCCTGTCAATACAATTCAGATAGGCCTTGTTCCAATTTTCTCTCTAATGCAGGCATTTGTAACTGTCCCTTCTGTTGTTAGTGGCCTTACTAAAACAGCGTATTTCACAGGTGATTACTTTATGTTCTAGTGCCTTCTTCATTGTCCATGTCTGGCACCGACAGCATAAAATAGTGATACATATTGCTATTGATCATTGGCTGTCTTGCTGGGTGTCTAAGTTGTGGGGCTCATTGGCAGGTGACAACATTTGACTTCTGGCCTCTGGCTTCTATCTCTTTGTCAAGTCACGACCGGCACCAGCTGACGGGCCGTGCTGCTGACGTCACCGGGTCGGGCTAACGATGCGTTGACGCAGGGGTTCTCAAACAAGGGGGGGAAAAAAACTATTTTCAACAGTGGCGAGGGAAGACAACTTAAATTTTAACTTTTAAGTATCTACATACCTTCTTTAATAATTTCACAATTTTTAGCCGACTTTTCTTGATTATTACCGCGGCACCTCTGGCATATGCTCACGGCAACCCACGGTACTTCGGCACCCAGTTTCAGAACCGCTGCTTACTAGCATCGTTAGCCGGACCCAGTGACGTCAGCAGCACGGCCCGTCAGCTGGAGCCGGTCGTGGTTTAGTCTGCCGTGTTCTGTAAATAAACAGTTAATTAACATAATTTATTTTCATTTTTCAGACAATCCTCGTCAAAAGAATCATCCTCATTGTCCATTGCGTCATCGTCGCCTGTCTTTCTGCAGCGCTAATTGGTCTCTTGGTTATCGGAAAAGAAGAACTGGAAAAGTAGCCAATAACGGAACAAACATTTATGCTGCAAATTTACTAAGTTATGCCAAACATTTTAAACTATGTTGTGTACAAACATGTTTATTTACATACTTATTTATGTTTGAATTTTTTT